CGCTGCCAACCAACACCATTGCAGCCTATGCTGTCGCCGGTGACTCACGGCAGCCCAGCTCCACGGTGAGCTGTTGTTCACCATCTTAGCTGTAGAGGGAGCAGCATCACTGGCCCTCATGTGGGATCCGAACTGGGGCCCTGCTGCTCAGAGCTGGCATCCCAAGCCAACTCTTAACCAGTGCGCCACTCGGCCGGCCCTGCACTGTTATTCTTACCTCTGCACTTCAAGGCTTCATAAGATTTCCAAGATAACTATTACTTCCAGCATCATTTTACCAAGGACTAGTCTTCTGAGATAAAGAAATAGATATGGTGCATTAAGGATTCAGGCAAAGGTAACAGATATTGCCCCCAAAGAATCATGAGTTTCAAAATATCACCAATCTGCCACCTAATCTCATTGTTGATATTTGGGACTGGACAAAGTAAGAGAAGCAGCCAGAAAATGAGTCATGGGAAACCCCTGGTGGATCCATCTATGCAGAGAGCTAGCCATTAAGGGTAAGTCACTTTCACGGCACACAAATTCTGACCCATGCTGTCCTATATAGCTCTGGCATAGGTATGCTGTAAAGATGCTGATAAAGCATTTCTAAGTGACTGGCTCATAATTCATTGTGTGACCTTGTGCAAGACACTTCCTCTCTTTTTGTCACAGTTTCTTTATGACAGGAAGGCATCAGTGGAACTCTGTTGAATCAAAAGAGCTCCACTTTATCACTTATATATTAAGCTTTTCCACATAAATTTTCATTTGGAGAAAGGATTTCATGCAAAAAACTATGCTTGGAAAATGACTGAATAAAATAGTCTTTAAGTTCCTTCTAGCTCAAACATTCTAAGAATCCAAAAACATAGACACGTCTTTTGGGTCAGCTTAATGTTCCATTCAGCCTTACTTCCTGCAGCCAGGAATGGGCCCAGGGTTCCACTGTGAGAGGCCATGCACAAGCCTCTTATGCCCCAGCTTCTCTCAGAGGCTATTAACCCTGTCCTTATATGGCACTTGTCTTCCCCACTGGGCCTTCGACTAACAATCCTTGTGTATGTTGAGTTACAGCAAGAGTAACTGTGCACAATAGTACTTGCAAGGCAGCTGCACATCTGTTTTATATGAAGGAAATATAACATTTACTGATTTTCTCCTAACATTCTTCTTGTTGATGTTCATCACCGTATGTCTGCCTGTTAGACCACAGTAGTCTAGTGTTCCCTGAGGGTTGGTTGCTGCTGATCTATAATACTCTTAAATGCCTTGCCTGAGCCACAACCAAGGCTTTAAGCTTAGTTCAGAATGTTTTTATTTTCACTGGGTTCCCTCACATTTGCTCACTCACACATTTTTATAAGGTCTCCCTTTGTCTCATTTTGCTTTTCATCATACATAGGTTTTAAGATTTTACTGCATGCTGCTTCCTGGAGTCTGGGTTTCACTTATATAACGTGATTCCCTTCTTATAAAGTTTTAAAACAATCAAAAACAACATATTGTTTAGGGGTGTGTGTTTGTATATTTTTAGATGACCAAGGTAATGAATGATAAATGCAAAATTCAGGATAGTAGTTACCTCAGAAGGAGGGAGAGGTCAAAACAGGAAGATAGAATAGAGGAGGAAGGCATAGGTAAAAATATGTTATCAGTAATGCTATAGTTCTTGGGTTGGGGGATGGATTTATGGGTGTTCATTGTATTTTAAATAAATAGATAAATAAATGCAATAAATAAAATATGAAAGATTCATATGTGTACTAGTAATGATTAATTAATTCTGCACCCCTGAGATTCAAAAATACTATATTTTTATTAACCAGAATGTTACTACTATAACATACTTTTGTTTTATTTTATTTTTTTTTGTTTCCTTCCAATGTATCAAGGGCTTTTTGAAACTCTAAATTGATCGTAACTATAAGTTTGCCTCTCTCCGAGTTTATTTCTCCCTCAATTATTGTCCTTAATTTAGTCAGGTTAGGGTTCTCCTTTTTGAAAATATATTGCATTTCCCTCATGAGGTTATTTTTGTGTGGGGTTCATGGATCCTTCTCTTTCTCTTGGTTCTTACACACTAGTTGGTATGGATCCAAGAATTACTGGCTACCTCTTGCATCATTTTGGGTGAAGGGCCATGATTGCTTGTTCCAGTTTTCTAGCCCCATGACCATTAATAACAGTTGTTTCTAGGGTAGCCAGATAAAATTCAGGATCATCAGTTAAATTTTAATTTCAAATAAACAACAAATAATTTTTAGTATATCTATTAATTTGAGGCATACTTATATTAAAAATAATTTATCTGAAGTTCACATTTAATTTGATATTCTATATTTTTATTTGCTAAACTTGAAAACCCTATGTCATTTGGGCCAATAATTATTCTTTAATGTCATTAGTGGTTTTGGGACCCAGGGAGTGTGAGTTTTGGAGTTGGAGAGACTTAGATTCAAATCCTTGCTCCTCCACTCAAGTGATAGAACATTTTTTGGCTCAGAATTCTTATCTGTTAAATAGAAATAATAGCAATACCTCATGAGGTTGTTGGGAATATTAAATGAGATAATATTTGTATAATATTTAGCACAGTGCCTGGTACCTACCAAGCATTCAATGGCTGTTATTATTATCAATTTTATACAAAGCATTATGCACACCAGCCAAGATTTGACCTTGTACTGCAAAACCTCCATTAACAGGATGCATTTGGGAGTGGGGCCCGCCTTATGTTTCCCTTGGTGATGACCAAGGCAACGTGGCTACTAGCCACTTCCTTTTTGTTTCTGAATACTCCCTTTGGCACCCTGTCATGAAGTGCTTCAGATTCATTCTCTAGTTAGCTTTCTCCTTTTAACATAGACTTTCTTGTGCATGTGTTTGTGGGTGACTTAGAATTCCTCAAGTTTTAAGCTATTATCTTTCCTGACAGAGATACTTGAGTGGCTGATAATCAGCTTTGAAATGTTACTCTCAAGCCAATAACTAATGAGTTTGGCTGATAAAAGGCAACATCCCTAATCAATATAGGTTTAAACAGAATGGATGTAAAGCAAGATACCACAAATACTGAAAACTCTTTGATTCTCACAAAGCAGTCAATAAATTAATTCAATTGGTTTTCTATTTGATTTTGTTCTACTTTCAATGCTTACCTTCTTTCTAGTGCCCAGTGCCTTCAGTGTTTCTCCTCTCAGGGAGGACACAAGGCCCTTTACATTCTCTTCTCTGATCCACCCATCCCTATCTTAACTTGCCCGTCTGCTTTACCATTCATCCTGGAATCTAACCAAGCATATTAATTCATCTTGACATGCTAATGGCAAAAAAAAAGTTTCCATTTAATCCCCTTCGCAAGCCACAGACTTTTTTTCAACACGCTAAACCTAGTAGTGGCTTCCTCGCAGATAAGGGAGACCATGCAGGACCCCTTATATCACAGCACTTTATCAGCTGCCTGTTCTTCTGCTTCACATGAAAAAAAAGGAAGCAGTAGTGCAGGTAATCTAAAGATCATTTCCTCTTGTTTTGGGAATGTACTACACAATGTTGTTGTAGTTGATTTGCTTTGCTAATTATGTTCTACCTAAGGTAATATTGACATTGGTTCATAGTTTTAAGCTCATCTGGGCTAGAAGAGAGAAGAGGTGGCAGTGTGACCTACTTTGAAATGAAGCTGTCCATCGGAGCACATATATGTTTAACATATATCTTTAAGATGTATGTGCTCCGAGGTCCATTGCAGCTTTATGTATGGTGGCCAAGACATGGAAATAACCAAAGTGTCCTTCAATACATGATTGGATAAAGAAGATGTGGTATATATACACAATGGAATACTATTCTGCCATAAGAAAGATGAAATAGTGCCATGTGAGACAAAATGAATGGATCTTGAGATTATCATGCTAAGTGAAACAAGTCAGACAGAAAAAGTCAAGAACCATATGACTTCACTGATATATGGAATATAAAACTGAAAGCAACAAAGGAACAAGACAAACAAATAAAGAAACAAAAACTCATAGACACATACAATAGTTTAGTGGTTACCAGAAGGTAAGAGGGGAGAGGGGATAGTAGAAGAGGGTAAAGGGAGTCAAATATATGGTGATGGAAGGAGAACTGACTCTGGGTGGTAAACACACAATGTGATATATAGATGATGTATTACAGAATTGTACACTTGAAACCTATGTAATTTTATTAACCATTCTCACCCCAATACATTTTAATTAAAAAAAGAAATGAAGCTGCCCACAATTATGAGGAGGACATGAAAGTTCTATGTGTGGGTTAATAGATCTAGAAGATAAATGCAAAAGGATCAGGATAAAACTGTCAATTACACATAGGCAGAATAGGCCCACTTACCGCACATGACAGACACACTGGGCACTGACAGACCAGTCTTGCCAATGGCCTGCCCAGAATCTGAAATCTTCTTTATTGGTAGCCTATATTAAGGGTCTTAGTAGTAACACAACTATGCTTAAAGCATTATGTAACATACAAAGAATAGCACATTTCCCAGCAGACACGTTAGCAGTTTGTCTGACTGAATCATCAGTCATTCTTGTCACCTAGTAGAAAACACAATGAAGGGGTAAGACACAAGACAGTTGTACCTTGATGGGGGTATGGATACACTATGAGGCTCCTTGGCAGCTGTGGTGGAAGTACGAGAGCACCAAGTACCCTGGAGGTGAGCTGGGAGGGTTACTGCAAAAGGGTAAGACAACCTTCACCTCTTCCCTTCCCACGTTTTCTTAGTTTCCTGCCCATTGTAGATATAGAGAATATGCAACTGTATCAAATATGTTCTTCCTTTCCTTATTCTTTTGCTGGACAACCAGGCTTTTAAGCGCTTCTAGAGACTTCAGAGATCTTGGTTTTCTGTTGAGGTATGTCATTTAGAGACAAAGCCTAACTATTGTATTTCCAACCCTATAAGCTACAGCAATGGACTACAGGATTATTGAAATTTCTTTCTCTTCATCTCATTGCAGTCTGCTCCCAGTTCTCAAGAGGGGTGTATGCCATCTTTGGATTCTATGACCAGATGTCAATGAACACTCTGACCTCCTTCTGTGGGGCCCTGCACACATCGTTTGTCACGCCCAGCTTCCCCACTGATGCAGATGTACAGTTTGTCATCCAGATGCGCCCAGCCTTGAAGGGTGCTATTCTGAGTCTTCTGGGTCACTACAAGTGGGAGAAGTTTGTGTACCTCTATGACACAGAAAGAGGTAAGAAGAGGCATCTGCCTTCCTCTTTGAATACTCATGTAGCAGTGGTGTTTAACCTTCTTCAACTCATGTTTATTCCCTTCTTTTCCAATAAGTAAAATCTAATACTCCATTTAAATTGTATTTAACATTCAAAATGAATTGAAGGCTAATACCAAAAAATTGCAGGAGTGGTATTTTTAGAACTAATTTTTTAAACTTTATATGTCCTCTCACCTCCAACTCTGAAAAGGAGTCTGGGATACACTCCTGGTTGAGTCACTGTTGTTGAAAAAGAGCACCTGCCCAAATAATTTACCTGGTCTAAAATATACAATGTAAAAAGCAGTATAATCTAAAATAGAGAGAGAGGCCCAAGCTGAAAAGTTTTGGAGAATTAATTCTATCAGAGACTATAATTATCCCCATTTCATAGATGAGAAAACTAGAACCCAAAGAGGAAAAGTGCTTTTTCACACAGTAGTTCAACCACAGAGTTTGGACTGGTGTAATTGTCTCCTGCGTCCAAGGCTTGTTCTACTAGATTACATTAGGTCTTCAGATTATAAATCCTTAACAATTAATTATCTGAAGGAAATAATGAGTGGAGTCTGGCTAAACTGGGCTTTAGGGATGAATGTTTTGTTTTGTTTTTTCTAATAGTGAGATAATATATTGAGGACACATTATATTGAAACAGTCTCAGAAATTTAGGGTTTGATCTTAAATAGTATACAATTAGGTATACACATCATAATTCAGCTAAATAGACTCTTCTAAAACTCAGTTATCTTTGAGGGGTTCCTCATTAAAACCAGGGGATCCTATCACCATGAGATTTCAAAAGACAATGTTGCTTTATTTGTTTGCCTGTAACCCTGGTTAAAGGCTAGAAATGGTTCTTTCTAACTCAAGGTTTTTGGACTCAGAGAAGGAAAGAGCAAATGGGAGGCCTGCTGCTTATGTAGTCCCTGGAAAGAATGTCCTCCTAGGTAACTTAACTTGAAGCACCATTTTGTTTTGGGGAACCCAGACTACTTTTCCTTCATTCTCATTCTGATGTGTCATCAAACCCCACCAGGAAATACTAAGGCCTATATTTGTCTATGGTACTTATCTTCAAAATATTATCAAATTTCACGAACTTGATCATCTCATGATCAGAGTTATAGTCCATGTTCTGCCACTACCTAGCTCTCTGACTTTAACCAACTCATTGAAGCTCTCATGGCCTTGATCTCCTCACCGAATATATGTCCCTTCTTAATGTAATATTCTACAACTTTTTTTGAGATAGTATACTAGATACAGGACACTTTGTATCTTGCTATTAATCCTCACTTACAAATTATCAGTTAGTCAACCAATTCTGCATGCTGTTATCAACCCCCAGTGGTATATTCAAATTTTGTGATAGATGTTTATATAATACAGTTCCAATGAGGGTAGACAGAAAAGGATATTCATAAAACAATTAATGAACAACATAAACCAATATCAAATTGAGTACTGCACTAAAGACTCTGCTTACTGTAAGAATTGTGAAAAGGTAGCACTCTAGGAAAGTAGAGTTTTCAGAGAAGGCTGGCTGGAGGAGTTTGAAGGATATGTAATTTGTGGATGATGACAGAAAAGGGAGAAGGGGTTTCAAGAAGAGGAAAATAACACGAATAAAGGGCAAAATTAGGAAGGAGTGCTGTGTGTTCCTGCAGAGCCTTGCCTGGCTAGGGCAACCAAAGAGTTTGAACATTCTAATTTATAATTTGTTAAATTTTAATGCATTTCATTTCTTTCAAACACTGAGGCTGAATTAGCTTATTTCCATGTACTGTATACAGTGTAATTTAGTGCATAACAATCTAATTTTCAGAACGAAAGTTTGTAAATCAGATAGCTTCTTTCCTGGACATTTTAGAAACTAAATATCAGTTATACTAATAATGTAACCTCCCATTTATTCAAAATCAGGAGATAAAGGTAATGCATATTTTCCTCATCTCTCATGACCCTTCTTTGTTCATTAGCTTTTTATTAGAGGAAAGGAAGCAAAAGTCCATCTATATCTATTTTTTCCCTTATCTTTTTTTTCCAAATCATCTCAGTAAATACTTCAGACAATTCTATGGCCTTGGAGCCAAAAGAAACCTTTCTGACTCATGTGTGTTCATATTTTTTCCTCTATCGCCATTTAACTGGTGGGATAAATCTGTTCTATTTAATAAATACTTTCTGCAATCTCTTATACTAATTTCCTCCTTGGAAAGACTTCTTAAAACACTGTACCATGACCCTGTTCCAAAATTTTCAATGGCTTCTACTGCCTACATTGAAAAGAAAAATAAATGGTCTATTCTTCAAGGGTCAATGTAATTATTCCTCAACCAACTAACAAACCCATTGTCCCTATATCACCTAATGAGAACCTTCTACTGCAGGCAGCTTCCATTTTTCACTGTTACCCAAATGTGCCAGAATCATGCTTTTCTCAGCATCTTAACTTCTACTACTACCTGGAATTCTTTCCTTGATCTTAATTATGAAAATCCTGCCTATTGTTCCATTTTTCAAAATCCACTTCAAACTCTTCCTCCCCAAGGTAGCCAGCCTTCTTTGACTACTTCAGCTCACAATGATTCATTCATTTATTCATTCAGTAGGTGCTATGGTTACAATAATGAACAAGATAGACATGGTCCCTGCTGTTATAAAGTTTATATTCTAATGAGAAAGATAGAAAAAATAAGTAAACCAACAAATAAAATAATTAAACATTTAGGTAAGGTGCTATGAAGGAAACAAAGATATTAATGGATACGACCTAATTTTACAAGGATTCTCAGTGACATCTTCATTGAGAAAGAGAAATTAAACTGAGAAGTAAAGGATTAGAAGTAAAGGATGAAGAACAGAGGGAAAGAGTTTCAAGCAGTGGAAATAGCAATTGCAAACGCCCTGTGGCAGGAAAGAGCTTGGCATGTTTGAAGACCTGAAAGAAGACAAGTGTGGCTAAAGGTTAGTAAGTGGCCTGAGATGAGACTGTAGAGGTAGAAAATAGCCAGATAATAACTATGGAGTATGGACAAAAGCCATAGTAAGGAGTATGAATTTTATTCTAACTGTAATGAGAAGTCATTGAGCAGGGAATGATTCTGGGCAGGGAAGTCACATGATCTCACATAAGTTTCTGTAGAGAATGGAGTGTGGTGCAAGAGAGAAGGAAGGGAAAACAATTAAAGGGACATTGTGGTCATCTAGGTGAGAAATGATGGTAGTTTAGACTAGGCTAGAGATGGAGAAAAGTGAATGGAGTTGAAATAGATTTTACACATAGAATCAGCAGAGCTTGGGACAGATTGACTATGTGATATTAGTGACAAGGATTCATGGATGACTGCTGAGCTTTGGCTTGAGAGACTGGGTAAGCTGGTGATCCTATTTGCTGAGGTGACTAGGGAGAAGGAGAACCAGTTTTGAGGAGCAGAGATCTTGCCTGCTTCTGAACCCCCACAGAGCCCTTTTGTCCATGTCATTCGCTTGGCACTTAACATAACTGCTTTCCATTATTATTTCACTGGGTCTGTTATATACCTTCTAAAGCCCTTCTCTCCAACATGATAATAAACAATTGATTGGCCCCTAAATTTATACTTTGTGCCCAGCCTGGTACATAGCACAGGTGTGGATACATAGTTAGTATTTTCCCAAATCCATTATTGATTCATCAAGAATAAGCCAATATTTTGTTTTGTTTTGTTTTTCAATGTTGGGTTAAAAGAAAGAGAGAGAAACAAAGAATGGAAGGGAAGGGAGGGAGGTGGATGGAGAGAGAGAGAGAGAGAGAGAGAGAGAGAGAGAGAGAGAGAGGAGAAAAAACTCAATTTATAAATCAAAGAAAGAAATCCCAGTTTATAAAATCAAGCCATGTGATACAGTTCTTCAAAATATTCAATAAAATATTATATATCTTCTCATTTTCTACAAGGATTATCTATTGCTTTAGAAATAAAAATTATGGGGAGAAATTACAACTGAAAAATGTAATTTTAGAATATTTTAAATTACATAAGAGAGAAATGGAAGACAGAGACAGAAGGGAGCACCTATAATTACATTCAAATAAATTAAATATACAAATGATTTGACTCCACTGTATAAAGGAAGAGATGAGTGAGGAGATGAGAAATGGGTTAAATATTTGAGGTCTTTTAAAAGATTTGTAGGACAATCAGGGTAATACTATCTGTGAGATTATGAAACATTGAGTGGACTTCAAGGTTTTGCTGGCTATGCTTTGATTTCTGTCCGTAGAGAAAGGTCTGATTTGTGTTTGCAGGTCATCACTTTGCTTACTTAGTCACCACCTTGGTTCATTAATACAAAGTTGAAAATTGTACTCTTGGTGCTATTACAAAAACTCAGCTCTTAGAAAAATTATGAGGTTGACTAAGTGGAATACCTGTAATCTCTATACCCTCTCCTCTTTATTGACACCCCTGTTTTATTTACCCAGAGCTCCTCACTATGACACTTGTTGACACCTGTTCTCCCTGGCAGTAGCAGAGCTTAGACATCTCTGACTCAACCTGCCTCCACACCTCCATAAAAACTTTTCTGTCTTATATTTTGATTCCACTGATTAATAGTCTTTCTATGCTAGTGACAATAGTTCAGCTGACCAATTTATTCATGCTAATTTATCTATGGCTATGACTGACTTGATGTGTTAGTGCACCCAGGGAAGAAATTTCAATTCAGGTAAAGGCCTTCTGTGAAATAAACTTCTAATCCAAATTGTGACCTTTTAATTCTGGGATCCCAGGCACCACAAGTCCAATTTGGAGGTCCCTTGTCCACACACTTTCCTGTTTAGAAAGTCCTAAAGACATGCCAGGGAGGTGGCCACTTCTTCCAGTTTTCTATTAGACCTATCCTTTGGATGCAAGTGACCTAGTTCTCTGTGGTGGTGACATTTTCTCTAGAACAGCAACATACTTGAGAAATACAGCCAGACTTTCTCCTGC